CAAGAGTCCAGGAGGAGAAGACATGATCAAAAACTAAAGATGTATTTACCAACATATGCATGATATAAAACTATCAGGATGTTACAGAGGTACAATCAAACAGAAACAAAACCTTTCAATACATGTGTAACTGGTTCAACATTTGTGGTGGGTGACGACACATTCAAAGTATGAAGTCTTAAATTTTTTTAATAAGGAAATAGGAACACAAGGTTAACATTAATTAGTGCTTCAGCTGTACAGTATATTAACTGCTATTTACTTATGGAAACAATGTCAAAGCACTTTACTGGAGATCCACTTTACAGGCAGTAGCCCCATTTAAGACTAGATGTCTGAGTTAAAATCTCTCTGAAAGCAGATTTTATATCTGCAACCTGACTTGTTTCATCGCTCAACTAATATTCTTTGTTTGACTCATGCTCCTTTGTCCAATTGTTTCTGCACCCCCTTTCTCTCCCACACACACTTCTGCACGTAGAGCGATCCAGAAACTACTCTGATAACACATTTTTGTTTGAGAAACTGCATTTTAATTCTAAACAATTTATTCACCAGACCCGCTTTGTGTTTGCTACATAATAATGAAACAAGGCCTGATTCAAATTACTCTGTGTGTGTGTGTGCGTGTGTGTGTGTGTGTGTGCATGTGTTGTCACGCTTTTTTTTTCCTAAAATTTCTCCTCACTGATGTCATTAAAACTAAATAGTTTAAGATTAGGAAGAAGGAATGTTGGTTGTATTTGCTTCAACTTTATCCACTGATACCTACTCTGACTGTGAACAATATTAATTAAGTAAATTAAGAAGGCTGCAACCTACTGAATACCACAAAAGCACAACTGAATTATGAAAAAGCTGAAAGAAAAAGAAAGATTTGCTTACAATCTAACAATATTTCAATTTTGAAATATCCCTTTTAACTAGGCTACTGTATGTATACTGCATCCTCTTATGGGACGACTTTATGTGAAAATAACATTTTATTAATTGGCTTCTCATGCAGAGGCCTGACCTGTGTGTTGAATAGAAATGCACTTCAGATGCAGTGTGAAATAAATATAAAAACGAGGTTTAAAAGTGCCCTCTTGACTCAGTGTTAGAAAACGTTCTAATAGATCTGGCTGCTCTGCAAAACCACTAGTCAGTTTATTTTTAAACTGACACTAAACTATGGCATGCCCTTTAGTAATATGACGTCTAACAAAAACAAGGTTAGTTTGTGTAAATGGCATAACATACAAGTCACTTATCAACATTTATCTTATAACCTCAGGTGTATAAAACGATGCAGACAGAGGCTTTAAGCAGACAGTTTGTGTTTTAATCTAGTAAGATTATGAAAACACTTCACTATCATGTATAGAATATGCTGTATATTGTATCTACTTCATTGGTTCACATATCTTGTCCAGGGGTTATGGATAATTTCATGCTACGCTGCGCACGTGGACCCAAAGAAACTCGCCAGGATTTTACAACATGCAGTCACCAGTTTATCGGGTCTCTACTACCAGTTAGAAAGTTCTGCCCAGAGAAATTGTTTCAGCTTCACCCCTGTGTGCTTCACGGTCTGATGCTGAAACTTCAGCTGCTGACACACAACAAGTTTTGTTCTGACATAGTCCTAAGTTTTGGTTTTAGAGACGAGTAGAAGCCGAGTTGTTACGCGCAAAGCCAGGTCTGGTCGGTCGGCAGAGGGGTGTGAAGAGAAACAAACCTTGGTGTACTTGATCTCCGGGTTGGGCACCGGTGAAGGCATCAGCTGGAGGGATGCCATGAGAGCAGCGGGGTCGCTCTTCACCTCTCCGGGGATCTCGATCTTACTAGAAGTCATCACGACCGTCTCTCCGCTTGTCTGCCTGCTGCGCCTCTGGATTTTTCCTACTGATTTGTGATTAGGACTTTGGGTTCTTTCCCGGGTTTATAGCCAGGTGTCAGCCGCGGTTCATTTTCATTGGGCAAAGGGCTGTCCCTTTGAAAATTTAATTCACGCATTTACATAAACGACCGCAGCCATGTGTGTTAAGGAGGAGAAACGCATCCACCCCACCCACCTCACTCTTCCGACGCACTCAGTCTCCAGTTTTCACTCAACAGCGGATGCTTTTTAATTCAGCTTAGCATATTTAAAATCTGAGAAAGTGATCAAATATTGTGTCTTGGCTCAGCATAAGAGTTTGGAGTTGTTCTCGCGTAAATCAGGTATTTTATCTGAACTCGGTAATAATTGCCTTATAACACTTCATCATGTATTTGGCTGCAAGTTGTAGTGTTTATGGTCGCCTTTGGTGAAAGCACACTGTGAAGCATACCAGCCCCATGAAGCCTAGATTATTTACATAACAAAACAATCTTCCCACAACTTCCATATTGGTTGTGAAGCTTATCACATGATCTTCCTCCGCAGATGAAGTGCGCCTATTTGTAAATGTTCAAATTTCCACGTGGCCGAACACTTTAAGGAATTTTGATTGAACAGTTCAGATTAAAAGTTGATTATTTACTTTGGAAACAGCAGTTACCACAACAGCCTTTCCATAAACGCATAAAACGGCATATTTATTCTCTGCTGAAATCTAAATCTAAATCCACATTCCTGGACCAATGTTATCCATTTCCTACATGACATAAAGGTGTCATAAAGGCACTTTCCTTGGCTCACTATCACCTTGTCTTTATTTGCCTAATGCAACCGCCCCAAATATACGATGTTATAAATGGGGACTTCTTGCTGGGGTGTTGTTGGCAGAGATTTGTCCTACAGGTGATAATTCCTCCCATGGCCTCCTTTAAACGTCCCAATAAACATCCACCAATTAGCCTCGAACAAGCCCGTCTCAGAAACCTTTAGGAGAATTAAAGCAAAGCCACGCACGTATTAACACATCCACTACAAACGCCCACACACCCATGAAATCCCTCAGATAAAGGGTAAATCAGAAGTGTGTTTGTGCTTGTCTGTGGATCCAAGGTGGTGAAAAATGCAAAGAACAGAAATGAATCCAGAGTTTCTTCTCCTGTGGTCAGTGGAATGGCCATTTATTTGTAATACAAGGTGGGGATTATTGATACCCTCGGAGTAATCTCTTAAACCAGCAGAACGGTCTTCACATTTTGCATTTCATAATGCGGTGCCTCTTGACAGGACAAAGGAGTGTGGAGACAGATGTAGGCCAATAATTTGCAAATCCCCGGAGGATGTTTCTTCTCCATCAGCACATCAGCCTTTTTTCACAGCATGGGCGACACTCTGCAAGTGTCTGTTTCACATCAAAGCGGACGGGCCTGAAACGGTGACGTTGATTAATGCATTCAAAACATCCCATCCTCAGCCTGTCGCCTCACCTTTTCACAAAGCACAGTGAACGGAAGATAAGACATACCGGGGAAACGGTGTGACCCACTGGCAGCTGCTTCAAATGTATTCATGGAGCTGCCTCTGTCGGAGGAACCAGGCCATGCACACACACACACACACACACACACACACACACACACACACACACACAAACTATTTACCAACGTCGGTTTAAGATGCTAAATGGGTGGTAATGGTGGCATGAAACGACTAACAAACCTGGAAATGTGACTGATAAAACACATTTTGAACACGTTTTTATGGACACAAAACCGCCTGTAGCGCGAAGAAAGGTGAGTGAGAAAGGTTTACACACTTTGTGGTTGTATTTATTTATTTTTTAAACAGCAGGATCTTTGGTAATCTTCCCCGATAAGAGTTTGAAAATAGCCTAATAATGAGAAAGAATATAAGGACTGGTGGATGCGAGTTCTGTTTTTGTTATTTTATCGACTTTCAAGTTCTAAACAACAACAGAACTTGCACCAATAAAAACAACTTAGGACCAAAAGTTGTCTCTAATTTTTTTCCACAGATATTGAGGCTAAGGTTTTCTTATGTCTTATGTGCACGGCATTATCCTCTGATCCTTAATTATTTAGTAAAATAGCCTCTGGTATTTATCACTGTAACGAGGTTTTTGCGTTTAGTATTCCACTGTATCTTCATTGCTACATGATTTACAGCAGGCTTTGCAACAGGAATATACAATATTTAGATGATCTGTTTTTATCATTCTTGAGTTTTTATAGCGTCTAATGACCCACGTCCTTGGACAAGTGTACCCATGCCTAAACGATTTCAGCACGAATTGTCAGATTCTGAAAGCGAAAACATTCTGAAAATACTCCAGTAGGTTTTGCGCAAATTCTAGTGCATTTACAAAAATGGGAACGCACATGGCACCAGCTTCACTGACACGTTAAGCTGAATATCTTCCAAATGAAGTTTTCTTTGAGATATATTGGTGTTTTTAAAAGTAAAAGTTTTCACAAAATCATCTCATCTTAAATTGTGCATTGAACCTCGCTATGCCATATGCCTTTGTTCAGCGGGTACAGTTTGGTGCAATATCAGTAGCCTAACTAACCAATAAATATATAAACAATGAACCACATTTAGTGATTGTTAATGTGACAGATGATTTATGAAGGTCATTTATCTCAGTCGGTCTTTGAGCCTTTCAAACTACCAAGTGAGAGCTGTTTGATTGTATTTCGCCACTATACATTTCAGACCTGATGTGCCTTGGTTTTAATCCTCTAAGAGAGCACCCCATGATAATGGCATTTTAAAAATTGTATAATATCCTTGGTTGTGTTTTCTATTAATTATGCATCTAAAAACAACTTTAAAGTCTACAAGAATGAAAGCAGAATCCAAACAAATATATTCAGCTGTTAGGGTTTTGATGGCAGTGCAAAAATCTGAAGCCCACGCTGGTAATAAAAAGTGGACCCCTTGTGGTTACAGAGGGAAATAGATGCCCATAGCTTAACGTGTCCGTCAGTCTGTCAAGGAGTGCACGGTCCGAGCGCACCGAGTGGGAGGCGGCAACCTGCACAGACACAGACGCTCCTATATAGTTGTTAGCTGTTTGTTCTGGTCGGAGGAAGACATCAAGGAACCGCAGGGGAAAATGAAGAACGAGACCAAAAGGAAAATGAAGGAGAGATTTGGCCTGAGGCGGGACATCTTTAAGGAGTTCCTGGCGGAATTTCTGGGGATATTTGTCCTGATAGTGAGTACCTCCCTCTGCACCTGTCACCCAGCTTTAAAGCCTCGGACCAATATGCTAATAAGGTGTCAGACCGGGTCTCCAGGGCCTCTGACTGCTGTCTCTCATAAGTCTCTGTTAGCAGACAGTATGTTAAGGAAACAACAGACTTTGTCCTTGATGTGCTCTCCTGTAATTCGCTCCTGACAGAGTGCCTGTAGAAATCATAACAAGATGTGACTGATGTGGAGCTGTTTTTTAATTCCTCACAACTCATCCAAAGTATTGCCGCTCAGCAACAAGGCTGTGGAAAAAGTACAATGCAATTAAATAGCAAAAATTCACTTTTGTAGTAGTGTCCTTGTTTTTCTGAGTGTTGCCTGCTTTTTAGTTATTATGTGTTTCTAATCTGGACTATCTCGTTTCCACTTGTGAACTCCGCCTGAGTCCATGATGCCACATCAGAGGAGTGATGCAGTTTCCACAGCCGCCCTTTTTATTTTTGGGTGACTGCTCTGGTCTCACCTCACATTTTTCCTCTAAATTATGTCAACTGTTCACTTAATAAGTGGGGGTTCATTATTTTCCCCAAGTTCCAAGTTGGACAAATTGCCCCTGGCAGTCAGAGGCTGTTGGTGCACAAGAGGGCTAGTGTTAATAGTGGGTATAATTGGAATAATTAAAAACAATGAGTCTTTCTACCTCCACCCTCTGTGTTTTTGTTCTTGTCTGTGTCCCAGCTTTTTGGATGTGGTTCAGTGGCCCAGGCAGTGCTGAGTAAAGGGTCGCTCGGGGAGCCCTTGACTATCCACATCGGTTTCACTCTAGGAGTCATGATGGCTGTTTACATGGCAGGCGGGGTGTCAGGTAAAAGTCGCCCACACTTCAGATGGACACACAACTCAGCCATTACAATACTAAAACATCTACTTCTCACTTCAGTGTCATTCTGCAAATAGGGTTTGGATTTAACCAATCCTTTCATTAGAGAATGGTGAAATATGCTGGCCCCAGTTTTCTTAAGCCCAAAATTTTGTCTTCAAATTGCTCTTTTGTCAAACCAACTGTCTAAAACCCAAACATATTTAGCTTACACTGATATTAAACGAAGAAAACAGAAAAAGTTGATTTCTTTTTTGGGTATTGCCAAACTGCTTTATGGACTATTTTTGCAGGTCTCTCTGCAAACATGTTGAGCTTAATGTCATTTTGCTGTCACGATGTTTCCTTTTTAGTTCAGCTCCCTGGGGTTTCCAGTATTAGAAAGCAAGGAAAACTTAAAGGTATTCATAAATGGTCTGATAGCAAAGGTCATTACTCGGTCGTGGATGCTTGGCCCTCTCTTTGCTCTCACATCAACAGCTTCCTCAGGTGACTTTGTGTCACTGTTGTCTCTATCTTCACAGTATTTACATGAAAAACTTCTGCAAAAAAGAAAAAGCATCATGATGCATTTTCATCCTGGATCACTGACATCACTGTATTTGCTTACTTATCTAAATGAATTAATGGTCAGTGAAGACCATTACTGATGCTAATTGGAGAACTGGGCAGTGATGATGTTTTATTACCCTTGCTAATGGGCTGACTTTCAGTCTAAGTGTGGTTTAGGACCGGAGGTTTTGTGTCCTAATGTCCAAATGGGACTTTATTGGATACATTCCTAGAGGATTACAGCAAGAAGAGCGCACTGTGGTTGCAAGCAGTGATAGGGATAAGAGGGGATAGTTGTTAAATGTCACAGTGCTTTGCATGGGCTTTCTCAGCTGAAATGTACATTACACAGCAATTAAAGGATTCAGTGTGTCAAGGGCTGCATTGTGTGGGCTCCATGAGTTGTTGTATGATCATTTCTGTCTCTCTTGGGAGGAGAAACATCATTATGGAAAGCGGAAAGAGGAAACCTCAAGTTGTGGTGTTTAATGGCATAACAACCACTGTAAGGAATAGTTTGACATTTTGGAAACAAAGGAGAACAGTGAACATGAACAATCTGGCCAGTGTTAAAAATTTCACTTACCTGTATCTCTAAAGCTCACTATTTAACATATTGTTAATTTAATCTCTTCAAAAAGCAAAGTGTAAGAAATACAATGTGCCATTTTATGAGTGTCATGTGTCAAGCTACTTCTTAGCTTTGAGCAGTTGCCAGACAACTAGTGGAGACGTTACTGGTCTCAGACAAAAAAAAATAGTAAAAAAAAGGTCCTCTTTAAAATGGCTAATGCATGTTTTTATACTTTGGTCTTTGTACAGTCTAACAAGCTACAACATTTCAGTTACTGAGCTGTAGTAGTGCTACTAGGTGGACTTTATTACCTCTGGACAGAATCAGGCTAGTTGTGTCCTCCTGTCTTCATGCTAAGATAAGCTAACTGTGTCCTGGCTGTAGCCTGGCATTTAACAGACAGTGGTCTGTGTGGTGTTGATCTTCTCATCTTTCTCTAACTCTCTTTACAACTCCAATCAGATTTAGCAGATGTATTTCAAATTAAGCAGTCCTGGGATAGCACAATTCCTCCTGCCTATGTTTTAGCACTTAAGCAATTTGAGGTAATAATATGGTTTGTGTATCTGAAGAGATTTAAAAATGGAAAGTGGCACAATGTGAAACAAGCATTTAAGTGTATTGTTGTTATTTTGTATGGTTGTAATGATCACTGTGACTCATGTTACTGTGTTATTTGTCCTACACATTTAATGAGAGGACTTGTAAAGCTTCAGAGGAATCATTGAAAAGACTGAGGACAGGGAGGTTAATATATGGAGAGCTTTTGCTGCATGACTGGGCCATTCAGCCCTGGGGTCCACAGCTCAGTGGGAAGCTCCTGTCCAATGACATCTCTGAAGATGATCATAGGTATTGGACTAATGAGCTTTACTGGGGCATGGGTCTCTGGAGAGGAGAAGGGTCAGGTGTGACCAGCGTGGATTTCTGGGCTTTCCTGGCAGGGCAGCCCCACAGGAGAAGAAAACACAATTGTTTTCACTTTGTAGTCTCAGATTTTAGATGACAGTGTACCGTAAGTGTGACACATCATGGTCACTCTAATGACCTGCAGTCTACGTGTGCCTTAAGCAGATTCAGGCAGATTATGTCAGATGCAATTCAGACAGGCAGATCTGGCTGGTTGTCGTGGTCAGTGTTTATGAACAGGATGGGGGGATTCACAATGGGGGCGTGGCTGATACCACCACTGGTGTTACCACACTGAGGTCAAAGCCAAGATCCCAAAGTGTTAAATAAATGACCCCACAACAATTGGCTAGAATGTGTTCAAACGGGACGCAAACCCAAAGTCCTTTCTTTGAAAATATTGTTTGAGCACAAGTACTAAATGATCAGACAACCTGTCAGTGACAGTTTAAATCCACTGAATCCAACTTCAGAAGAGACTTAAAAAATGCTCTACTAAGTCATCCTTCTCAGCCTGGTCACAGAAGTTTGATTAGTCAATAAATCAATTAGTAGATGAATATAAATATGATCAGCATATGTTTTGATAATCAATGATCATTTAAAGGGGAACTCCATTAACTTCACACATCAGAAGTCTCCTGTAAAGTTGAACAAAAGTTCCAAAGGGAGATACAATCTGATAAATTGCCTCGAGTGATGTCACTCCTTGAAAGTGATGTCAGGTGTGACACCACACCCAGACTGCTCAACACAAAAACAACAACACGATAACATTACTAGTATTGGCCCATGCGCCTGATGCAAAGATGTTTTTGGTGAGGTGCATGCACTTTTCTAAACATGTGCTTTTGAAAATACTGTGCAACTGTTACGTGATTTTGCTCATTTTATGTTGCGTTGCACCAGGAGCGCACGTGAACCCTGCAGTTTCTCTGGCCATGGTGATCCTGGGGAAGCTCCCTCTGAAGAAGTTTCCTGTGTATGTGGTGGCACAATTTCTGGGGGCCTTTACTGGATCCTGCATTGTCTTTGGGTTGTATTATGGTGGGTGTAACTGTGTTCATGTCCGAACTAAAAAGATACTGTCTCAGAAAGCAGGACTCCTCAGTTACGGAAGTGAAGTTTATCCTGCCAACTTTGTAGTCCTGCTTCACGAGACAGCTCCTGCAAATATGCTCCAGCAAGGAGTTTTCCCTGTTATATTTGGATACTGTTTTTATGTCTGACCTATTAGTATGTGAAACAAAAATATTAGAGAAGCTTGTTAGTAACATCTTCATTGTATTTTCTTTTCTCCAGATGCTTTGATGGACTACACCTATGGAGAACTTGCTGTTGCTGGTGAAAATGCAACAACCAAAATATTTGCATTTTCACCAGCAACAGCCAAAATATTTGCATCTTATCCTGCAAAACATCTGTCAGTCCTGAATGGATTTGCTGATCAAGTGAGGTTTAAGACTGACTTGTAATTTATGAGTAATTTCCCCTGGAAACATATCATATTATAAAGTACAAGTTTGTAAGGTATCATATAAAAATCCCAGCTATAGCCACATGGAGGACACTATACTGTTCATTCAAACTGCTAGATAACATGTTAACTGTTAGTGTTGAAAGGCCTTTGCCTCCTTTATATATAAAATTATTCATGTAAATAAGATAGCAAACATCTTGCAGCAGGGTTCCATATATATGGAAGTTGCTAGAACATACAGAAGTGCATGCATTTAATGCAGTTATGGGCATGAATGTAAGCATAAAATGCTGTGTGAGCAGCTCTGTTTTGATGCTAAACATAACTGTTCTAGATTAAACATGAAATGAGATGTACATGTTAATTTGTAGTTTTAATTTCAGAAGGCGAACAGGACATTAATGGTCTACATTTTTTATCATACAAATCTGAGGTATGTTCAGATCCATGTTTTATAAATAAACCTGGAAAATTAAACAAAATAGTTGAAAGAACAATTCCTTTGCTCATGTGGTTTTTAAAATGTCCAGCCATATGGGCCTATACAGTAGTGCTGGTTTATAAAGACAGAAACCAAACAAAATAACATAAGGGAGAAGTTGCCACAGTGAGAAGGCTAAAAAGCATCCTCTCAACAACTGTAACAACCAAACTAAAATATTTTTGGAATATAACTGATGTTAGACTAATTGCCTGATTTATTTGTTTGTGAGGTAATTGCAACTGCCGCACTGATCCTGTGCATCCTGGCCATCACTGACAAGAAGAACATTGGTGCTCCTACAGGCATGGAGCCTCTGTGCATCGGCCTGGTCATCATGGCCATTGGAGTGTCCATGGGTCTGAACTGTGGCTATCCAATCAACCCGGCACGAGACCTTGGCCCACGGTTCTTCACGGCTCTGGCCGGGTGGGGCATGGACGTATTCAGGTAATTTTACTGATGTTGAAGAAAACAGATGCCAATTAACATCTGCAAGGTGCCATGTTTGACGAATGTAAATATGAAAAAGAGTTTAAGAGTTTCTAATATAAAGGGCAATGTGGGATTATTATCAGAAAAATTCTTGAGAAATAGAATTTCCTTGCTGCCTGCCTGAGAGATCTAGGAGTCCATTATTTACTGATGCTGCCATGCTGACCGGTGACAGAGACATAGCAGATGTGTGATGTAAGATATTTTGAGATTTACCATTTGACTCCTTTTCCCTGTCTGCCATGAAGAGCAACATTCACAGCTCTGTCTCTGCTGTCTCGACAGTCAGAACGATTATTTCAAAGGTCAGACATGTTTTTCTTGCATTTCGAAAAAGGGCTCTGCGATTTAAGTGAACAGGGAGAGATTCAATGCACATAAATGTGAAATATTCGGCTTTATAAGTGAAATGGGACAGTTGTATGTTCTTCACTGCCTCTTTTCATTCTCCCCTAGTCATCACAGCTGCTCCTTGTCTTTTTTTTTTGTTTATGCTCTAGATTGAAACACAGAAATATTGTTCTTATTTAATGGTTGTAATGTCCTGAAACAGTATACAACAACTTTAAAACCCAACTTGAGGTATTCATTTTAGCAGCAATTAAACCACCATCCTTGGTTAAAGGCACTCTGGTGAGGTCTGATCACTAGTACCACAACAGAACAATGATTTGCTTGTATCACATGCTGCACTGTTACATGCACGTGCATGTAGGTGATGAAATATCTCTGCTGGTGGTTTCACAGTGTCCCACAGATGTTGTAATGTGGTGGTAGCACACTTAAGAGTAACAAGGGAGAGCTACGTATCTTTTAAAGCAGCAAGTTGCCAAATATTCAAAAATGGCTCTGGACATATTGTATGAAAAAGAAGATGTATCCAACACCACACTTTGTTAAACCTTGAGCATACACACAATGTGTTTTGTTTAGAAACATGGAATGTAAACATTTACACAAACACCTTTAACACTTGTAAGCCTTTAATTCTGTCTTAGAAAAGGTGGTGAATTAAAGGAATTTCCAGGGGAGATTCTTTATGGGGATAGTAGCTGCATATTCTATACACAGTGCAAACAGAAGAGGGGACAAGGTGCACCCCTGTCTCAGTTTTGTTTGGACTGTGTCAAGAGTGCAAACAAAGCTGTAGGTACAGTAAATGGCCCACAACTGCAGACTTTGTTTACCATATTTGTATTGGGTACTTCAGGAAACATTTTCAAAATGTAAAAAATTACATAGGCTGGAGAAGCAAACAGCTCTGGGGTTGATTGGTGACTTTAAATTGCCCATAGGTGTGTGTGTGTGTGTGTGTGTGTGTGTGTGTGTGTGGTGTGGTGAAAATGTTCACGAGCTGATCTCATCCAGCCCTGGCACCTTTCGACTTAGGAGCTTTCTAACTAACCAGTGAACTCTGTCAACAAGACACTGCAGGCATACAGCTTCCAGGTCAATTTTAAATTCTCAAAGTGCTTCTTCTGTTTTCCACCAACTTCCCACTTATGACCACCTGCCTAACACGGTGAACACAGGAGTCAGTGCAGCAGTTGGCTGGCACTCGTGTCACTCTGCAGCTCACTGTGCAGTTTTTGTGAATCCGTTTGCTTCCATAGTTCTACTGTTAACAGATCTGATGCACAGGCCTGTATGTAAGAAAGTATCTTAGCAGGTCATCTTCCGTAGGCATTCAGGAAGAGACAAACAGCTGTTTCACCTGTGAAAGCTGCTAACAGCCACATTGACCAGCATAATCTCCCTCCAGAATCTGTCTGAGATCAGCTGGAGTAAGAATGAGGACACATGCAGTACACACAGAGCTCCTTAAGACTTTCCTGTAGTCTGGGTTAACTGTGTAGGCTTTAACTCACCTCAGGTAGGATGTTGCTAATATAAACATACAGATTGGAGAGGCAGTGTACATGATTTTATTTAAAATAGTTTGTTTCTATAAGAGTCTGGGACTTTCAAGATACAGAATAAAAACAAATGGTCAAATGTGAAGCAGCAGAAGTGAAGATATCCTGACTTTAATACCTAATGCATCTCAGTCACCCACTTTGGATGTTATGCCATTCAGTGGCCCGTTATCACTTGTTATGAGACCACTGTTATGGCTCAGGATGGTCCCTAATCCTTCACACTCTAATATGGCATTACCTAATTTCCTCCTGTTTTGTGTCATGCATACTACAGCCACTAGAAGTCTAGAAGCCACCACATATATTGATACTGGCAGGTGCAGAATGTCCCTCCTCAACCATAATTATGGGTGTGATAATGAATGATAATAGCCTTTGAATTGTGTAACAACACTCAAACCAGCTGACTCTATAGTCTTTCATTATGCTGCTTTCATGTTATATCAGAATAACCAAAAATGTGAATGTCCAACTTGTTGGAAACATTCACTCTGTTTGTCATGAATGTAACATTAGGCTCTTCCTGCATGGGAAACTTTCTCACTTCCTACTCTCAGCTTGTAATGCAACCTTTCTGCCTGATGTCACTTGGGTAATATTCCTAGACTTGACAAAGCCCATTCAGAACCACAGTGGAAATGGGCTAAGGTTTAAGATTTTAAAGTTTTAACTCAGATGCTGTGTAAATAACAGCATGCATACACAAATTTAAATTGTACTATGTCATAATAATGTATGTGTCCTCCCTACAGAGCTGGAGGTTGCTGGTGGTGGATCCCTGTGACAGGGCCTATGGTGGGTGGGGCAGTTGGAGCAGGTATTTACTTTCTCTTCATTGAGTTGCACCACCCTGAGCCTGAAAAACAGGAGGAAAACAGTGTCCAGGACAAATATGAAATGGTAACCATGAGCTAAAGCAATACAGCAGCTGATTTTTCACCCTCAGAAGGCAAAATCAAGAGGAAGCAGTTTTTTCTTTACATTTCAACAGTTTAAGCATGCATCTAACTCACAACATCATAGTCCATAAAATATGCATGGCTGTTTAATGAAGCTGATAAAGACACTTTTTGTAGAATGTCTGGCGTGTTTATAAGATTAAGGGGTTCTTTCATATATCAAAGTCCTTCTTAAAAACTTTAATCTTATGATAAGATAACCTTGAAGTTCCTCCTCCTATAACTATGCAGTATTCTTTATAGTCTGTTTCCTAATGGGGATAATCTCCTCTCCTTAGAAATATCTGCCATGTTTTTGTACAACCTTTTAATTTTTACTGCTGTTTACCTAACAAACAGGGACATTATAAAAATCTAACACTTAGCAAACTGTTACTTTAATGCGGAAATGTAGTAATTTATAGTATTTTTAGCCAGTGTGTTACAGTAATTTGTTTTATGTGTTGGCTATATTTAGTCATCCTTTGCTAAAATGTGATTGATTGTTTTATCTTGCTTATAGCAGTGTAGTTTTTAGAATATATTTTATGTAGAGAATCCAACCTTAAATGATGACTGGTGCCACTTATTGTACTTATTCACTCAGCTCAATAATTTTGCGACACCCAACTTGCTGAATTACAGATTTCCTCATTAGACATAACTTAACTTTACTCACTTACTATTTACAACTTGCTGAATTACAGATTTACTCATTAGACATAACTTAACTTTACTCATAAGCCTTGACTTGACATAAGACCTATAGGTGTCTGCTTTGTGTAAAAAGGTTTTTTTTTTGTTTTCTGCACAAACCTTTGCAAATGTCACTGAATTCCTTGATTAACTGTGTTTGAGTCAGTGCACATGTGGTATCAGGAGAAATACTCAAACACTCACCATAACTGTTTACATTAAAATTCTACAGAGTTGAGGTAAAGTGTGTAATAAAAATATATTGTTGCAATGGTTTAGGTTTGGGTCCAAGTTCAACACTGGGCAAAAACAAAATATTGGAAAATTAACAACCTTGTTTGGAAATGTTCAGTGGAGGTGCAAAAACACAGGATTTTCTTTTATTAATAGAGCTTTGGAGATCCATAATGCTTTTATCCTGAGTGCACAGAAATGTATGTTTACAAAGACAATCCCAATATCAACAGGTTATTTTTTAGAATAATGTGACTTGTAACCCAGCCTGGTAGAAAGGACAACATACTATAGGTACCACTATTAGACAACATGATGCATACAGACCTACGCTGACATTTATTTGTTGGCAGTTGAACTGATGATTACACTGGCATAAAAGTATCAACACACAAACAACTGCAATATTAATGAAGAATTCAATATTTAACAATATCATTTTGTGTATTATTGGCTGAAATAGATAGTTTGTTAATTATTGTAGCTTAAACATATTTTAAAATAAATAAATGTAATTCCAATGGATTTACTTACTTTTTCTTGTCACTGTATACATGCATTTATTGAGAGATTATATTACTGAGTTACTGAATAGCATTTTACAAAAGCACAGTGGCTGTGTAATATACAAGTCACTTGTCTGGCAACATGACAATCACTTAAGCTGAGAGGTTTTTAGTTTTATGAAACAGAAAAGATGTGAAGAAAACTGTTAATGAATTATTTAGCTGTGAGGTCCTGTATTAAGTACATTGCATCATATGGTCCTAATTTCACTGAAACAGTGTAACATTTATTGTATGTAGTGTGCCCAAGATAATTCCCTGGATGTGGCCTGTCTGAATCAGAGTAGTTACAGTATGCATGTTAGAAAAGTAGATGTTTGTTTCATTGAATCTATTCATCTGTTCATTAATCAGGTTTATATTTTGGTACTTTTATGTCCTGCATCATAGTGATTCTGTCCTGAATGACAGCCTGTCAAGAAGTAACATTTTAATATTTTTGTCTCTTTGTGTCATTGTTGTTTATTTGAAATTTTTTTCCTAAGGTTTTTTTGCCTAACATTACTTTCTCAAGTCTTACTATCTGTCTAAATCAGCTGTTTTTCTTTTACATTATTACTTGTATCTTAAATTAAATAAAATTTGCTGAAATGATTTGTTTCTTCACACTTATTTTCTAAAAACTATAAATGATTACAGATTTAACCATGCACATTATGGTTGCACAATATAGCCTACTGGTATACAAAGATATAACAATATGCGACCACAGTGCCTACCTATTATTATCATTTAGAAAGTATTAAATGTCAGAGGGTGAGTGAGAAAAAAAAATCCTACTGAATATTTTTAAAATATCAATCATTCTGTCAAAGTCTGCCACTGGCCAGAGTAACGTTGAGGAGATGCGTTGTCCCCCGTTGACTTGATTGGCTGATTAATTAATTGACTTGCTGACTGACCAATGGGAGAACTAACTAATGCAATTAGGCGTTCTGTTACGTATAGCAAACACTACAATATGGCGTCGCTGGTCGAAGGATGCTAATCTGTTTGTCAACTACCATTAAACAACAGAAGGAGAAGGAGGAGAAGAAGAATAAGAAGGAGAAGAAGAAAAAAAAATATGCTAATGCTAATCAGAAACACAAGTCGAGTCTCTCCAGTTATTTGACTTTTTCTTCCACGTCTCCATAGTTGTTGGACTAATGCTTGAGTGCATTTTGTTTGTTGAAATCTTGTGATAAAAACTGTGTCCAGCTATGGCCACTTCGATACACATTTTGGATACAAACAACCGAGAAAGGTAGGAAGCGACTGTTCTGCTGTGTGTACTATACTCCTGGAAAATGAAAAACGGCTGTTGCAATGATATGGGGACCCAACAAAATGCTTTACATAGTTGAGACTAGGTGAGACTTAGAGCTTTTTTAACGGTGTAGAGTAGTTGTGTTTAAGTGAAGTCAGGTACAGAAGAGGGCTAAGTGTCCCATCGCTGGAGCCGTTTTTGGTGACAGGGTTTAACTCCTTTGCTGCTGGGCTGAAATGAAGCTGTAGCAAACAGAAGAAGACACTCAGAAGCCTCAACCGGGGAAACTGTATGCAGAGGGATACACATGTACAATACTTGAACATGTGTGCAAGTATTGACCTAATTTGGGACTCGGCAGTCATCAGTGGAGTTTACTATCACTCATTTTACAGCCGCTATCTTAAAACATAAAATGGTGAAAATACATTTAAAGCCACTGGAATTAATATTACCTTTGTCAAAGAAGCTGATATACGAACACGCATGAAACGGCCTGATTTGATTTGATGGCAATTTAATTTGCACATTCAGTCAAGTGACTGGGCTTGAATTTCAGACAAGAATCATAATCACTTGACTGGGGCACATCAAACTTATACAATATAAGATTATTGTTTAGGGCATATTTAATAAAATTGAGCTCAAATTTTACTTTATTCCAGTTGTGAATAATGTTAAGAGGCAGAAAAACATCTAAACAAGCTGACACACAGACGCCAAAATATAGCCTAATCCAGTTTGAAATGGCTTTTTGGAGAATATTGCCCACCCAGACGGTCTCTGAGGGTCTCCATGACCGCTGTGTGACTGACCTTCTTTGTGTACTGTGCTTACTCACACCATTTACCTTGGACAAATATTCCACTGAAAAGGATCGCAGCACATGTAACAAATGATTGATTTTTTTTTTTTAACCATTTGACTTAAAAAGCATCACTACTTAATACAGTCTGTTGTTAGCACTTTGTGTACAATGGGTACATACTTTTCAACTTCTAACATGTAACACAATGCAGAAAAATCTCATCTATTTTTGGAGGAGTTTACTCATTCATGTTTTGTCCACAGTCTACAATTTTGATAGTTCTATTCAAATTGATAGTCCTGTAGATCTGTAGGATTTCCATTCATCTGTCCATTAATAGACACAGTTATACCTATGCCACAGATTTCTTTTATCACACTTTTTGGGATCATTTAAACAACAAGAAGAAGGACATTTGTCC